AATATCCCGTACATTAACAGTGACCGACAGGTGTTCTCAGCAGTGCCTCTTGGACCTTCAGATTTTTGTGTATTCTCTTGTCCCTAAACTCCAGTCAGAGGAATGGCAGTCTGTTTCCATGTTAGCAAGAGGCCCGGAGAGTGATCTGTTCTCCCTGGCCATGGTGTAGTCAGAAGCCCAGGTGTATTAAGCGCACACTATTCCCTTCATGGATGACATTTTTCAGTCCCTCAAATGGGTTATCAGATTATTTAGAAAAGGTTTGGTTTTTTTTTTTGGTTTTTTGTTTTTTTATTTTTTCAGAGTAAAATGACATTAAGAAGAGAGGTGTTAAAAAAAAAAAAAAAAAAAAAGCATGATGTTTGGAGGTAGAACATGTGGCTTTTAGCCCTGTTTCTGTGGCCACTACGGAGACTTGGCCAGGCTGTAAAGTGTTCTGAGCCACAGGTTCTCCTAAAGGATGAGGATAATAATTACTTTGTTTGTTGAGAGAATCACATGGTACAGGGAAAGTTGTCTCCAATATTGGAAATGCTCTTCACATGTATATCAGTTTTTCTCCTTACTTTATCGCTGTCAGCATCCAAAATTAGGATAATCTTAAAGGCGACATGGCTATAAATCTGGAAAATAAAATGCAGTGGGTTGCACTCTGCCTCATACATTTTAAAATTAGAAACTGTGTTTTTAGATGATCATGAAGGATGTAACCCAGGGGTAGATGTCTGATCTGAGCTGTGTCTGGAGTCCAAAAGCCAAGGGTAGGCTGGTATTTGAGGAGCCAGCATGGGAACAGAGTTGAATATTCTTATACTTTTTTAATATACATTACAAAAGTCCATATTGGGATGGAGGGGAATAGTTAGGAAGGCCCATACTGGGACATAGGGAAAGGGAAACAGTGACTGAAAAGTAAAGGCAAAAACATTCTGTCCAAAGCCAGGAAGGCAAAGGGAAAACTAGGAAATAAAATCTGGCCCCAAGCTCAGACATGATGGCATCTGGAAGAGAATTCCAAAATCATCAGTGAGCCAGGGCCACCTTTACACGGCTCTAGAACTGGACTACGTAAGAGACGAGCACAGAGACACAGCTTTGTATTCGTCATTTCATTTTTCTTGATACTTTCTTAGTATAGTGACAGGAAAGGTGATTGAGGAAAATCTTTGGGAAATCCATGCACACCGAGGCCGATTCTGCAAACATATAACCAAAAGCTTTATTGAAGCACTTATCAGTGCTCTGACTTGTGATAGTTCCCATTAGTTAATCATTCTGACAATCCAACACTAAACCCAGAGTAACTGGTTGCTTTGGTTTCCTGGACCCAGTTCTGGTGCAAGTGTGTGCTGGGGGTGTGGGCACTTCCCACACCAACAAGCAATTCCCTTGACCAGCTGGGTGTCCTGTAATTCAAATCAGTTCTGGCACTTTCAACCTGGAGATGCCACAGGTTAAGGGTTCAGTCCTACAAGATTGCCCCTCCTTTCCATTACCCCCTCTGATGCCAGTCACAAGCCCAGGCTATCACCTGGGCTTCTGACCAACCACTGTAGGTTGGAGGTTCCAACAACCCCCTCCTTGGACTTCTTAGCCAGTCCCAAGTCAGGCTGTTACTTAAATTTCTGACCAGCTGGCTATATAAACCAGAAATTCTCGTGATCCCCCTCCTCAGGTTTCAGTAATTTCCTTGAGAGGCTCACGGAACTCAGAGAGACATTTTACTTACAAGATCACAGGTTTCTTGTAAGACATAACTCAGGAAGAGCCAGATGGAAGAAACGCATAGGGCAGGTGTGTGGATCTTCTGTACACTCTCAGGGTGAGCCCCCCTCTTGGCATCTCCACGTGTGCACCAATCCAGAAACTTTCCAAACCCGTCCATGTGGGGTTTTATGGAGGTTTTATTACAAAGGCATGATTGATTACATCATCGAACACTGGTGGTTGAACTCAGTCTCCAGGCCACCTCCCCTCCCCTCCCAGCGGGCAAGGGGGTGGGACTGGAAGTTCCAACTAATCCGCTGGTAACCAGCCTCCATCCTTAAGTGCTTTCCGGACTTGGCTTATTAACATAACAAAAGGCATCTTTATGACCCTCAATACTTAGGAAATTCCAAGGGTTTGGGGAACTCTGAGCCTGAACAGTGGAAGAAGACCACATATATCAAAGAAATATATATATTCTCATATATATTTGGTCATCTAAATTACTTATATTTGGTCATCTGAATAACCAAATATTTATTTGTCTTTTAAATCAACATATTACATGGATTAGAACTGCAATTAGCATGGCTTCTAATAACTTAACAGTGGTGTTTGTACCATGGGTATAAGAGCCTATTGTTTAGGTGTTCCCTAATGTGGGTTATTGAGAAAATAATCATTTGTTTTACCCAGTCAGTCTCCCTCTTTTTCTTCCTATACAAAATCTAACTCTGTGAAGATTCTTATACTTTTCTATATATAATAGTATGTATAAAAAGGAACAATATTTAAAAGACAAATGATCAGTTAAGACTAAAGCATTTGTTAGTAACTTGCTTCTTTAGGATCTTCATAAATACACACACATACACACATGGAGAGAACTTATAAATATCCAGACCTAATGCTGTAAACAACCTTAGAAATTCGCAGACTGGGCTGTGATAGAAAAAGTAACAAAAGCAAAGTAAACGCTAGGAGGATTTTGGCATCAGAGAATTTAAAACCTAATTCAAAGTGGCTGATGTGATAAGACTCACATAAAAAGAAGTTCTGAGACGAAACAGGCTAATTCCATCTCTCAGAGATATTGTCTAGGATCTACATTCTTCTAATCTTTCATGACACCAGTTTTTAGAATGTCGGCTTACCTTCCTTCTCTCGTGCCTATAACATGGCTGTAGCATTGTTAAGTACCACACCAGACAATTGTCCATAGCAAAAAGACACCACGGTTTCCAGTGTTTTCTTTGCCAAGGGTAAAAAACAAACAAAAAACTGTTCTTAGAAATCTCCAGAAGACCCTCTCTCATGATAATTGGCCGAAACTGATAAACAACACGCACCTTCCTCCCCTCCTTCTCCCCTACACTGTGAACTCTGTGAGGCAGGACCTGTGGATTCTATCTCCAGGCCAAAGCGCATTGTCTAGAATTAAACATATGCTCAATTAAAGTCTATTGAATAAGGTAATCCAGTCCATCCACTTGGCTCAATTTAATGAGCCATTTTTATTCAAATACTAAATATTTTGAACATCTTTTTTAAAAAAGGAAAATTAAGAGGAAGACCTCTATCCAGGACTAAAAATAATTTTGCTTTTGTTGCACTTTGTTTTATTTCATATTCATTTTGGGACAGCAAAAAAAGAAACTTAGGGGAAAAAATGATTGTTCCAGGGGTAAACAAGTCTTTGATACCAAGTCCCTATTATCACTGCCTATTGAACACCAGGGGCATGAGGAAATGGCATCATCTCAGGTTCCAGTTTTAGAAGGGAAAAAGGAAAGAAACCTTAAGAGTCTTGGGCCTAGGGCACCTGGGTGGCTCAGTGGGTTGAGTGACTGCCTTCGGCTCAGGTCGTGATCCTGGAGTCCTGGGATAGAGCCCCGAATCGGGCTCCCTGCTCAGCAGGGAGTCTGCTTCTCCCACTGACCCCTCTCCTCTCATGCTCTCTCTCTCTCATCTTCTCTCTCTCCAAAATAAATAAATAAAATCATTAAAAAACAAACAAAAAAAGAGTCTTGGGCCTTGCATGCTCTACTAACAGTTATTCTTTACTAGTGAGGCTTGTGACTTTGGTCAAGTCAGTTAAATTAAGTCTCAGGGTCCTCATCTGGCAAATAAGCAACACTGTCTTTAGCTACCCACAGGCATAAGTTGGTGGATTAAAAAAAAGATGATTTCTGTGAAAGCGTGTCGGCTCTGAAAACGGTCATTCAGATATAAAGGCTCGTCTTGATTCACCATGGAGCAGACTAACGTTGGGACTCTTATAACTTATCTTGGACAAAACATCTGGTACCTTCTAGGTGTGGTGAATTGACAGTTCTGATACAAAAGCTGTCTGAGCTATCCTCCACAATGCAGGCAGTCCAATACTGACTGTCCAGCTTAATGGTATATGAACCTCTTTTATCCAAGAAGCCTCTCTTCTCTTTCGGCATTACCACCGGTCTCTAACAGAATGTTCAGACATAATGCTGCTCAACAAAGCTTTGTTAATGAAAAGAACAATTTGGAAACACACACACACACACAAAGGAAGGCAGCACATTACAATGACTAAAATTGTGAGCTCTAAACTGGGATTCCCTGTGTTCAAAATCCTTGATCAATCTACTTAATCCTTGCAATCTTCGGTTTCTTTTCTTCAGTAAAACGGATATAATCATAACAGAGCCTCTGCCACGGGTTGTCGCCAGGATTAAATATAGGTAAAATCCTAACACCATGTCTGGCGCATGGTAAACACTAAATGAATTCTAATTTATTGATATTATTCTTTTCCTTAGAGGTTAGGAATTGCCTTCCTTTTACCATTGACAGTTAAATGTGATGAAATCCGGGGCGCCTGGGTGGCTCAGTTGGCTAAGCAACTGCCTTCGGCTCAGGTCATGATCCTGGAGTCCTGGGATCGAGTCCCACATCGGGCTCCCTGCTCAGCAGGGCGTCTGCTTCTCCCTCTGACCTCTCTCTCCTCTCATGCTCTCTCTTTCTCAAATAAATAAGTAAAATCTTTAAAAAAAAATGTGATGAAATCCTAGATTAATAGGCCATATAGAAGAGCAGATCATGTGTGATTTAAAAGCATAACAAAATCATGCCCGACATGATCCACGTGCCATCACAAGCATCTAATGAGTGTTACAGGTCAGCCACTGCAGGGAAGAGCAGAAGCCCGCTTTACCATGGGAACGCCCTCTGCAGCCACCGCCTTCCTCAGCCTGGCCAGTTAAGCACACAATCATATCTTTCTGTTTGCTCCTGTCCTTGTTCATGCTCACCAGGTACAAAGACAGGAGACTGGCCCAGCACAAGTCGGAAATAGAGTGTTTCACCCCCAAAGGGAGTGTGGGGAATGGTGGGAGAGCAACAATGAGCAGGTAAGCAAACTGTGAGTGGCCTGAGGTGGTGTGAACTCAATGTCCGCAAGCTAGAGGAACAGGTGGCTCCCTGGTCTAGGTCCTCGCTCCACTGTGTACCCCATGCAGTGTGTCCAACCGGGGCCACCACTGGTTTTCTGTGTGTGTTTGATTTGCAAAACCCATGCCACCCTTATGTGAAGTGATGGGAGCCTCCTGTCCCAGATGCTGCTGTTTCCCAGGGTCGTGTGCTTTGCATGTCTGAAGCCTTAGCTCACACTTGGTTCTCCCATGGAGTTTAGCTTATTGGTCAAATGCTTCTGGAGTTTGCAAAGTGGAAGAGATTGGAGGAAATTCACATTTCAGTACTGACCAATCAGTAAAACAAATGTAAAAGCCTAGGACTGGTTCTGAGGGAAGGACTGTAATGAGGGAATATTCCAGCCCTGATCCCAGACAAACCTGGGTATTATTCTTTTTTCAGTATAACATCATCTTACAGCCAAGGGCAAACGCCATGCCAAACTAGTAAGCTGTAGAGGCAAGAGGCTCTTCATGAACTGAAATCAGGAAAGCTAGTCCTCCTCTAGCTACCATAGCTTTGCAGCTCCTTTCTTTCTCTGTGTCTGGTGGCCAACACCCCCTGTCGCTGCGCTGTGCATGTCCCTTCCTACTAGGCACTCCCAATTGAGCTGTGCCCAGTCAACTGGGTTATTTAGAACTATAAGCATCAACTTAGCTGTGTTGCATGAAGTGAACGTGCTTTATTGCATGGGACCGCGTTTCAAGAAAAGGGCTCTGGAGATAAATACTGTCAAGATTGGCATCAAACAGTTCCAGAATCTCGGAGGAGTCTTGAGCTGGGGAATCACTCACCATGAACTAACTCTCCACTTCTACTTTGTTGTGGCATTTCCCCATCCATCGGTGGTACAAAGGTGTGGAAGGGAAGCTCCTGAAAGTCAGCCTGGGTGAAAAAGGAAAAGGGAAGTTCAGGAAGTACAGCATGTACATGTGTGTGTGCGTGTGCGGAGACCAGAGCTTGGGATCCAGCTCCCCAGCAAGAAGAAGATCCTGTGAAGCCCTGTTGAACTTTCACCCCAAATATTGTATTTGCTTCCTCTGTAGGCTTCTCTGTAGTAGGCTCCTTCTGGTTTTCAAAATTATGTCTAACTTTCTTCAAGGACCACCACATTGCACAACTTTTGGAGGGGGGCAGAATTCATGTTGCAGTCTATGAAAATGGTGCCTGGAACTGTGTAGTGTACAGTCTGGCCAATCTTTTATAGCAGCCCTGGCAGAGAGGTTGGCCAGCTTCATCCATGGCTCCCAGGGACAAGGCATTGAGAACATGTGTACCTGTGTAGACATATATATATGCATTATGCGTTAGTGTATCTGATGTACTTATGCCCGTGATCCCTTTATACAGCCATCTTTGGATCTCAGTCTGTCTGGAAGATAAGCCTCAGTGGATCATTTTGTGGGAGTAACTCAACAGACCGCTATTGGGCCTTCTGGTTTCCTTTCATTCAGATATGACAAAGTGCCATAATTCCTGTTCTTGAAAATCAGTCAGACAGCACTGGAGTTGGCTGGACAAGATGAAATGACTGTATTAAATGAATATGGGGCTCTGTCCAGAGTGACTTCTGATTTGAAGCAATTGTCTAGGACTGGACTTCCCAAAGTTGGCTATCAACTATACTGAGACAAAATCTTTACTATAGCAATTGTCCTAGGTCATTCTAATTTATACCTATAAATCGATATGGTGGAGTAATCCATTTGTCTAGGAGATGACATGGAGCTATTTATGGTAAACGTTAGGTCTCCATTGTGTCATGCATTGGTCTTGGCAGTGTTTAGTCAATGTTTGGAAATCTCCGATCCAAGCAGCCCAGTGATTGATTACATTTGCTCAAGGCTGTCCTGATTGAGTATGGGTAAAGAGAAAGTGGGACACAGAGGGTAAGGGGACTCTAGGTTAATGAGACAAGATTCCTCGAGTCAGGTCCAAATCTTCAGAGATAGCAATTCAATGTATCTATACTGGGAATAGTCCAAGTTTCTCTACAACAGCAAAATAATAGTTAGCTTTTGTTCCCTCACTTGTTTGGATATAGCCAAGGTAATGACAAGGCTTATTACACTGATACATCCAGGTGAAGCCCAGGGGACTACGGCATGCCCTATTAAGGATAGTTCTCTTGGAATGACCACCTCAGCTCCATGGATAAATGTAATTCACTGGAAACAAATGGTCTTCCTGTCCTACTTTTTCTTCCTTCCCATTTATTTAGCATTAAATAAAACAAAATAGAAGAGAGTGAAAGTACTCAGGAGGGAAATCAAGTCCTTCAGTGTTGTAAAGAGAGCTTTCCATTAGGGAGGAGAAAAAGCCTAGAGACACATGAAAGGAGAAGCCAAAATGTCTAAGACTGTCAATTTTTTTTTCCAGCCTCATATTTGTTTATACAAATATGCACACATACATACACAATGATGTTTATCCAGGAGAAATAAGTTGAAAATGAATATTAAGAGAAAAGACATCAGAGAGGAGACAACGGCAATGTAAACCATTTCTAAATAAGACGGCTCAGTAGTTATTTCCAGTGTGCTTCCTCTGGAATTGAATAGAAGGGCTGGGGAAAGAATCACTACTCTGCTTTTACAGATACTTTTGGCATCAGCTGTGGATGCCCTCCTTCTTATGAGCTCCCACTGCCCTCCCCTTCATTGCTTCCTAGAGTCAGAGTCAAGCATATTTACTCTGCAAACATCTGGGCTGGTTCTGTAGCCTTAACTAAATAATCCGTCCCAGGGAGGGGCTAAAGGAAGCTCAAACAACAGCAGAAAACCTGGAGTGTTGCCTTTCATCTCATTTGCCTATGTTTTCTATGCTGAAACTATGCAAAGGACAGGACCTGGTGAATTCACACCAGGGGTGATTCTTCCAGAGCCAAGTTACCTGGCAGGGGAGGGAGTTTTCTGGGGCATGCTGCCCTAGAGCTGAACACTATCATCTCACCTGAAATGATGACAGGGCCTTAGAGACACTCCCTCACTTCTCCCTTTTCCCTCTACCCCAACATTTGGAAAGGAATAAGAACATTATATGTATCCCTAACACTCTAGCTTCCTGAAATATTATGTTGTTGTTTTCCTTTTAGGCGAATTTTTTTCCCTTCTGTCAGATTCTAGCATAACTTGTCATCTTTTCATATTCCCACAGTGGACAGTCTAAGTGTGTTTCAGAGCAGAGACCTCCTGATTGCAGGAGAAGTGAAAGACAGTCCTAAACAGGGAGGTGCTCTAAGAACCGGAAATTCTCTAAACCCTATTATCGTGTGAGTTCATACCAAGATGGTCCACCTCTGAGATGGCTAAAACCTCAACAATGAATGTTATTATCTCCTGTCTCAGCAGGGCCATTCCATCCGAGTCCTCATTGGAGTCTGCGTTCTGAAGTGCTTATGTCATACCCCATGAAGGAGAAGCAAAAACATTCTGAGTCTCCCTGTCTCTCTTTGGAAAAGGGTTCCCTAATCAAATGAAATAGATCTATAGTCCCCCTCCAGTGCTTGAAGGAAGGAGGGTGGTACGTGGTTATTTTTACTGTTGCAATGTCATGATATCAGTTACGTAAGGTATTAATCCTCAATCACTTGAGTAACTGATTTTCACCTAGTAGGTGTAGCATTTAATTTTAATGGGTATAAATATTTCATAGAGCCTTCAGAGAATCTGGTAATGGTAACGTCATAGTCATGAGGAACTCAGATTTGAAAAGCAATCCTAAAATGTGATGTCTGTGTTAACACTGTTTTGCCTTTCATTGATTCAATTATTTCTTCCTTCATGTAACACTCATTTTATTAAGCAACTACCACGAGCCAAGCACTTACAAGACTCTGGAGATGAATGGGTAACAATGACTTGACTGATGTCCTTGAAAATCCATAGTCCACAGGAGAACAGAGTCAAAACAAAAAACAGAAAACAAAAACAAAAACAAACAAACAAAAAACACAGATACTTGCAATGCAAGAGAAACCCCTGTCCCAAAGGAAAATTTATGTGTCCAATTAACTCCTCATTTGATATCAAAAACTACAGCTTAAGCCAGTGCAAATAGTATTAAGAGTAATATAAACTAAGTAATAGTCACCTGAACTGAGTGTTCAGAAAGGACTACACACAGAGTTATATAAAATTCAGAGCCACAGAGAGAAAGGATTTATCTTTCTAGTATGAAACTAGCTAGTTTCATAGTGATAGAACTGCTGCAGTAGTCTTCTCTTCATTCCTCCCCAGAGTCAGTTTCAGATTAATGTTCTAACTTACATTTAGAGATATTCTAAAGCAAGTAAAAATAATCACTCATTACCCTTGCTGTAATTACTATGCCTCAAACACTGCAGCGGTCCCTTCCCATTGGTTATGCACTAAATTCTCCCAACAATGATCTTTCCATGGTACAGATGAGGAAAATGAGGCTCAGGGATATTAAATAAACCACACAGTAGAGTGATTTAGTGAAAATTCTGAGGTCAAAGACTTTAAAACCTGATTCTAGCACTAGCCAGTGTGACCTTGAAGCACCATTTTACCTCTTTAATCTCCATTGTCTGTAAAATGAAGATAATAATAGAGCACTTCCCTTCCTATATGGCGCTGTGAGAACTAAATGAGATAATGCAAGCAAAGCACTTAGCAGGCATTTAATAGCTTCTATTTAATATTACTGTTCCCCAAGGCTACTCATCTTAGAAAGTCCTTTTATGGGGTCTTTTCTACCATTCTCTACCTACCATCACCCTTGTTTTCTCAACAACCAATTCTGGAAAAGTATGTAGAACAAAATCTAGTAGTATCAATGAAATTAATTCAATGATATAATTTCTCTGCCTTAAAATTCATGTTCTCCCATGGTTCTCCCTGGTGTTTAGATACACCAGACACTGGCTTTAAGTGTCTTACCTATATGGTCTCGTACTTCATCTTTAAAAAGGTAA